CCCCCCCCCGCCCCCCCGTCAGATTCACTGCAAAATGCCGTAGTGAAACCCAAGAATAGTTAGGGTAAGATTAAGGTTAGTATAGGATCAGCGAGAGGATTTGATGAAAATCAATGTTAGAATTGGAGTAATGATTTAGTTTGGGTTACTTTCATATCCTTTCAGAGCAAAGGGTAATGGAACACATATAGCCTGTGTCACGTATGGAACACGTGCTCAAGTGGAGTTCTCGTTTAACGATGCTTCAGTATGGACAAAAGAGAAAGCGTTGACGAGAATCGATAAAATCAAACATACACGTACGTACATTTCAATATGTATCAAACAGCTGCCTTATATTAAATAATGATCTGACCAAACTTAACTCAGAGTGACTGAACTTAACAGTGAGTTCTGTACAACATCAGATCACTTTCAGGTAGCTCACATTCAAGAACATGTACTACCTCTGCATGATCTAACCATGGTAAACTCAACAGTGAGTTCTGTACAACATCAGATCACTGTAATGTTGCCCACATTCAAGAACATGTACTTACCTCTGCATGATCTAACAATGCTTAACTCAGCAGTGAGTTCTGTAACATCAGATCACTTTAACGTAACTCACATTCAAGAACATGTACTACCTCTGCATGGTCTAACCATGGTAAACTTAACAGTGAGTTCTGTACAATTCAACATCATTCACTTTAAGGTAGCCAACTCGGCAATGAGTTCTGCACCAATATCTTCAAGGTATCCTTCATTCAAAAATACTACTGAAAATAATATAGCAACCTTACTTCTTATTTAGGAGGTGCAACAGCCACAAGGCTGGCCTTAGATATGGTTCGAAAAGTCATCCTTCCTTCTTCGAAGCGACCTAACAGCGTGAAGGCACTCTTTCTGATCACAAATAGAGCATGGAGTTTAGGGGGCTCTCCTAAGAAGGCTGCAGATATTCTTAAAAAAGATGTTGAAATATATGTCATAGGTATTGAGAAGAAAGTCCGGGATGAATCATTGAGGCAATTGGCATCGAAAGATGACAACGTGTTTGCCATAAAAAGTTATAAACACCTGAATAAAGTTTTGAATATGATTGTGAATCGCCCTGTCAAAGGTAATAAAGACTATCTGAATAGGTGTAAATAACAGTTTTGTGACAGAAAACTGTTAAAATATGTGATTTGATAACTGACAAACAACATATTTTCCTGACATTGGCATCGAAAGATGAAAACGTGTTTTTTATAAAAAGTTATAAACACAAGACTATCATCTGAAAACTGACAAAATATCTTAACTAAGTGATCAATGATGAAACAGCAAATATATTAGACAATTTCACTGATAGCATCCATAAACATACATTATGACCTTTTCTTAGATTACTCTGAATGTGGTTCCTCGCCATTTAAACCATTTGATGCAAGACGTCGGATTGTTGGTGGGAAAAAAACAAATGGACGAAATTGGCCTTGGGCAGTCAGGATATTGGTTGAACGTAAGTTTAAGCATATAGGGACTCAAAATAGAAATGCATATGTCCTAAATATCTATTATCTTTTGGGAGGTGAAATAAGTTTCGCCTGCAATTTCTATTTCTGGGAAAAATTTAAATTCCAATTTTCAACGGGTAGGGTAGACTATAATCAATAGCCTTCTTTCATTTAAAGTATAAAAAAAGATATTAAATAAAAAAAGATATTAAATAAAATAATATCTTGTGTAAACGGTAAGGTATTGAACGCCCAGTGCAAATTGTCATTTCCAGATGTTCAGGCGTAAATTATAAGCAAATAGTTTCACGAGTATACAAGGATCTTAATGTCCTAAATTTTTCGATCATAAAGTTTACTTATTGTTCACGCAAAATTATGCTAGGAAGGACACATAAGAAGTTCAGATTTGACTTCTACTACCCGTGACAATCTGGAGATGTATTCGTGATGATGATAATAAAAATGTGTGTGTAAGTTTAACTTAACAGCAAAAGATTTCAAATATTATGAACCCTGGCTGCTGGCTCACCGATCAAGATTGATTTCCATTTAGACAAACCAATGTGCGTTGGAGCATTAATTAATAAAGAGTTCGTGTTAACTGCAGCTCATTGTTTTAGCAAACCACAATTCAAGCCACAAATCAAGTCACATGAGTAAGTTCATGTTGAAATTAGTACATTTACCAGCATCATCACCCAGTACTGTAACTTCGTTATAAGTATGTAGTTACATCTATAATCGTTACTTTTTTGGTAACTGTAACTGTAGTTACTTTCTGGGGGATAGTAACTTCGAACTGGAACTAGCTACTTTTTTCCATTGTAACTTGTATCAGGACTTCAGTTTCACTATTTACAAATGATGGAACTGTAACCAGTTACAAAAATGCTGTCATAACTATTATCATGAATATCATAGTTATATAAATCATTATGATGACCCTCACCACCACGCTCATTACTGTTATCATTGAACATCAGCTAGGTCACGATTGATCTGATTTTACTCTGTCTATGATCATCAAAATAATCATCATCATCATGCAGTCATTATCATCATCGGTCGTTGTTACTATAATCAGTACCATAGCCACCATTATTATTATTTATCATCATCATTATAATCACCTTCATTAATACCACCATCATTAAGACCACCATCACTACCTTCATCTCAATGAACCATCACCTGCATCGACCATCACTACCATTATCACTAGTTCACTAGCATCAGGACACCATCACACAGTATTATCCCTGTCATCGTCACCACCATCACCCCAACGTCCATAATGACGATTTCTGTCCTCGCTATAGGGTAAAAGTGTTATTCCAAGACAAAAGACGTACAATGCTTGCAAGTCTTTCGCTCCACATCCACCCTGAATTCAACACAAGAAACTTCAGAAATGATATCGCACTAATTAAGATCCCCAAACTAAAACGCTTCACACGGAACCAACACGCAATCTGTGTACCACGTGAAGTAAACACAACAAACATCATCAAAGATGGCAACGAGATGTATGCAGTTGGCTGGGGGAGAACAACACCGCTCAAACCAAATGAATTTTCTGGTGGATTAGATGGATCAAAAGATCTGAACCAAGTCAAGCTACCGTTTAAAGCGAACAAATTCTGTGATGACAATGTGAAAAACAAGACTGCCAAAGAATTGAAAAGGAATAAAGATATTTGGTATTTCAACAGCACCACACAGTTCTGTGCTGGTGACATTACTGGCCAGAAAGATACTTGCTATGGTGATAGTGGTAGTCCGGGGATGGTGTTAAACCTTCATCCAGTAAGCGGAAAATGGCGTTGGTTTCAAGTGGGTGTTGTAAGCTGGGGGGTTGGTTGTGCACAGAAGGGAGAGGTTGGCTACTACACAAAAGTCTCGGCGTATGTTAACTGGATTGACAAAATAATTAACTCTTAAATTCAAACTGTTGTTCGAGTTTTATAGTTTTAAGATAAAGTTTTTTTAAATGTAAGTAGTATAGAAGTAAGGTTTTTGTGCTAAAACAGAACACAACGTTTATAACAGTATATAGATTGTAGTGAAAAATTGTTCTAAAGCAACTTTTTAACAAAAAACTTACAATAAGGTTTCAGACTTTGATATGTATAAGATATGGAGTTTTTTAGATCTGTACTTTTGTATTGCAGTATGTTGTGTGTAGAGAAATTGTGGTAAACTAATTTCTTACCAAAAAAATAATCCAAATATAGGGTACCGGGTATCGCTGATATATTTAAAGGTTGACTGCTACACTAAAGTTTCCGTGTATGTTGATTGGATTCACAAGATAGTAAATTACTATAAAACTTTTAAAACTATGAAACTTTTAAAAGTATAACGCACTTTTAAAACAAGTCTGACGCTGCTAAGCGACCCATATACCTTTCGTATATTACAAAAGGTCTATGGAAAAAAGCGCTTAAAAATCATATACTGTACAATAAAACAGTAAAACAATGGGAAAAATACTGTACATACAGTTTCATGGTCCAATCTTCTTGATTCCAAGTCGTCGTTTAATACCTGACCCCGGGATTTCCAAATGAACACGGTTTTGTAGTGCTTGTGCTTCATTAAGCAGGGGGGTGTGTACTTCACATTGGTCTTCCACTGTAGACATGGGCTTCCATACAAACTCTTCTATATCGGTGAAAATGATCAGAGGGCATGACATTGCAGTGTTAACTTTTTAGCCGCTGTTTTCCACTAGCGAAATTTGTCTTATAAGATTTTTAATAAATTCTTTTCAATTTTAACAATAGAACAATCGTTTCATGCGAAACAATTCGTTAGTGGAAAACAGGCTTAAAGGCACATTTCCACGCAAGAAGGTTTTCCGCGGAAAAAAATTTGTAAAATATGATTGGCCGACACCAATTTTCCGTCGGAAAAAAATTTTGAAGTTGAAAATTTTCAACTTTTAACAATGATATTTTCGGAATCTTTTCTGTTCGTGGAAATTTTTCTTGAATGGAAATGGGGCCTTAACATCTAAATGCATGTGCATGTGACTCAGGGTTGGATTCTTGCCATATGCAGTTGTTTGAGTTTCATCTCACATTTGAGAAGAATGCCTCAAGTTTGAGTTTACTACCAAACATAGTTATGGATGTTCTGAGTACCCTATCTGAACATTCACAACTCATCTACTCGTTCACATTCAGGAGAAGAAAATCGCACCTAAAATTGCAAGTGTAAACGAGCTTTCAAACTCATGTTATCGGATATACAAATAAAGTAGGTTTAGTTTTTACTTACTTTCTGGAAGATTTACTAATGCGTTAGTTCCACCAATACGACTCAAATCAACCAGACTGTTAGAATGACCGTTTCGTGATAATATATCTGCAACAGATCAAATTTAGACAAAGTAAAATTACATGGCGGTAGTGAGTGAATGAAAATAAGCAATATCAGACCAAGGTAGGGGTGAGGTGATGATGATCTTTCTTTGAGGCTGAAAGCTGGATTGGAAAGGACACTGTGTATTGCTTAAACACGACAGAATCTAAGGCTTAATACACTGTCGGAAATTACGTCACCTTGGCTAGAGAGCCTCGTTTTTGTGGTTGAGACGTTATAAGCTTGAACTAATGTCACATACACGAAGTCGAGGCTCTATTCCGCGGGAAGGGTGTACTACTAGGAGGGTGCCATACACTCCATGTCACGGAGCACAGCTAAGGTACAACGGTTAGTCTTTGTACGCGGACTTTCAAAAGCCTCAAAGCCGCAGATGTAGAGAATCAACCACAGCTCACTTACACGAGTTTTCAAGCTTCTTTTCAATAAGAGTCAACTCACAGGCTCGCTGCAACTGCTTGCAACCAATGACAATGCTTGACAGTTTGTCTTAATTAGATGGAAGCACTCGCAGAGAGCTTGCTAGTTGATTTTTACGATGAATGGAAAAGAGCCCCTATATAGCAGCAATGTAGTCACCCATCAAGCAACGTAACCCTCCACCTCTTCAGTAGCAGGCTTCACTGAGAGGCAGCGCGCTAACTATATCTACCACACCATGCTTTGTATAGATTATTGAAAGAGCAAGTCATGATGCATCCTCACCTGCAGCTGTTCCTAATGTTAAATCAAAAGCACTTTTTCTTCTGCCTACGTCAGTTACTACAGCGTCTCCATAATTAAACACCGAGTGGTTTATGGATTTCCTACATGAAACGTAAAGTACGTTCTTACAAATACTATGGGTAAAGAAAGATAGTCATCTGCGAAAAATAGTTAAGAATTTCAATCTTACCTTCTTAAAGTATCGTACATCACCTAGGAATAAGAAAAAATATTGTCAGAAATTGTGTCGCCTTTCTTACGCGCGTCTTCTATTGATAGGGTTCTCCTTATCAGGCGGTAACAGGTAAAATTTACCGAGTTTCCACGACCACTGATTACCGCATGGAGAAGCCTAGAGTGTACATTTGTTAAGAAATAATTAGTAATACGGTATGCAAAAATCCTATAAATAATCTATCAAGTATTGCTGAAATTCCAGACTATTAATTATTTAGCATCGATACAGATTGAATACAGAAATGCCCTATAGATGAAGCGAATTGTTTGGCGAAATGATCATGTTATTAACCCAGCGTGGGCCTGTGATTAAATAGTTAAAAATGCATTTTTTAAGGCGTGTGTTTAGAATATAATCTTTAGTATTCTATAAAAGTTTAAATCTTCCCTCAAAATGCAGGAAATGTCATTTCAGAGACTCCAGATTTCAAAATTTTCCGTGGGTATACCTCAGACCCCCAAGAGGTTTGTAAGTGTGGCTTGACCCACCGACCGGAAGTTGCGAATTCAAATTCCACTTGAGTCAAATCTTATTTTTGACTTTTGCATCACGTTGGAAACACAATTTATCCCTTCGCCTTCAGGTTTTACTTTAATTTTTTCATTCAATATTTTTCTAAGTGACTGAACGACAAAGTGACCTACCAACTGACCAACCCGTGCGGCATACCTGAAGTTTTTGATGTTGTCGACTTCTTTCTTGCAACTTCTCTGAAGCTTCATGCAATCTTTTCTTCGTCTCCTCCAATTCTTTTACTTTTGCTTTAAAAAATAAGAAAATTCTCCGTTGTTCTCTAAATAAGCATTTTAGACACAATATTGAAGGTACAATAGTGAAGATATTGGTGACCATAAAACTTACTGGATATTTCTGACTTGAGAGCTGTTGTTAGCAAAATGTTAAGAAAAACTCTCTACGTCCCAATATATGTATATATTATCTTCCTGTGTATAATGCTAATATGTATAAAGGATACAAGATATTTCTTGTTGTGATTTGGCAATGAGTTGTTCGTAATAATTTTCCAATTGAACATTTTTCTCCTTCGCTTTATTGGACACATACTCCTGGTACGTACGCTCTTGATGTGCCTGCGAAATACACATGAACTGAGTGAGGAAACACTCCAAACGTCGAAATTCTCCGTATATCTTTCAGCAGGTAGTTGCATCCCTACCAACGAAAGCTTGTTCATATTATTGGCACTACCTACACTAGCACTGACAGTTCAACATACACTAGCACGATTTGCATGTACAAGAGTGAGATGATCCGTTGAACTGGGGCGGAAAAAAATAATAAAGTTCATGTGCATGTAGTTCATCTTATGTGTATATAAAGTCGTATTCAAATCATAGGTGGAGCAAATTGAAAATGTATTACAGTATACAGTACCTGGTATGTCCAGAATGACAAAGCTCTAGAGCATATCTCCATGATAGTTTCAGGTCGTTGTCCAGCAAGAATCATCTGTGAAAGAAGAATATTTGTTATTAAACACAATCATGTGAGAATTTTTCCAGGCATGTCCAGGTATATTACGGTTTCTTCCTGTAGTAAACTGGATTAATAAAGGAGGATTCCTACTGGTGAACAACTTGAACAGTTTAGAACTGATAAAGCTCTCCAGTATAAGTAAGTTTAGGTTTCTCCCAGTAGCAACAATGGATCAACAAGGAGTACCTGTTTTAGATCCAGTTTATAGGCCTATAGTTTGTTTAGATCCAGTACTAGTCAGAACTGTTTCACAAAACTAGTTTCATAAAAAATACAGCAGTTTAATTATTAAACTATTTTCTTACCGATTTATATTGTTCTGAAGGGTGAAGGTCAATTCGTACAATGTCGAATTTCCCAGATAAATTAGTCTCACCTGGAAGAAATATATATGATGGTGGTGAACCCGAGTGAGGAATTCTAAAAATAGGTACGTTAGGCGTACATGTATCTGCGCAAAATGTTGACAGTTTGTGGTCATTGTTGTTGTAGTTATTATTAATGGACGATTGTTGGATAATAGGTAGTGGACAGATGTGTCTGTGACACACGACGCAAGGGACTATTAGATTATTAGTAATTATTTATGCATGTGAATGTGTTTATGTGAAAGCGGGTCTGCCATATTATCATGGCGAATACAGTATATTAAAAATTATAGCAAAACATTTAGACTTTGGTGATGCCAAGTCCTAATATCTGCAGCAAACAAAGGTTTTTAAACTACTCTGCAGTTTCTGCTATAAACAACACTCGATATGTTCACTGCACTCGACGACTTACACTAGTATCTCGTATATTTCTTATCTTACTCTGCTTCAGAAACATTTAAAACATATATACACTAATACAGATCACTGTGGTAATTAATCGCCTTACCGTTGCCGATTTACAGGCGAATCGCCCATAAATCGGCAACGGGCACAAAGTTTATATTTATTGTAGTCGAAGAAATACTGTTGTGTTACAAATTAAAACGTGGAAATACAAGGATTGTTATGTACACTTTCAACAGTATACACATAAAACCACTTTTAACACCAACACAGAAAAAAATAAAAAATATATTCTCTCCATCGAAGACGGCCATTTTGAATTTATTGAATCAGATAATATTTATGTGTTGGTGTTACAGTATATACTCAGGTGAATATGATGTTTGTGATGTTACTCTGAGTGTGCATCCACACCAGGCAAGCTGAAAAGTTTGCTTGGCCACGGTGGGAATCGAACCCGCGACCTTTGGGACACTATAGTCCAATGCTCTGCCAACTGAGCTACGCGGTCAAGTCGGTTCGAGTTGACGAAATTTCGGAACTGAGTCTAGTTCCTTCGATATCAGATTATCAGTGTATTCTAAGATATGATGATGCACACTCAGAGAACATCACAAACATCATATTCACCTGAGTACATACTGTAACACAAACACACACAAACACACACAAACACACACAAATATCATATCTTAGTCTTAGAATACACTGATATCGAAGGAACTAGACTCTGAGTACCGAAATATCATCAACTCGAACCGACTTGACCGCCGTAGCTAACATCACAAACGTTATTGTAGAGTAACAACACATTGATCACAAACATTATTGAATATAACAAATATATCCATCCAGTTACAGTTTTTATGGTTTGCAAAATATATAGATCAAAATAGCACACGTGATCCTGATCGCTGTCTCTGATTGGCTCTGGGCTAACAGAGCGGCAGATACAAAAAGTGTCCCCATATTGAATATCTTGGACCCTTGATGACACGACCACAGAAGACACGGCTAGTTTTAATACGCGAAGGGAACGGACAACTTAACGAAATCTAGTGTTAAAAGGATTATATTTATACTCAAAATTAAGCCTTGAAGTTTGAAAGGTTTGTTTGTAACCTAATTATACTGTAACACTTTATAGTCATATATGACTTCGCATTCTTTTCAAGTTATATTACATGTTTATAACACTTTCTGAAACCCACTAATAGAACTTTAATATACTTGTTTTAGGATGTGACAAAAAAGTCGAAAGTACAGTGGAATTATGGCCAACCTCGTTCCCAGCATGGCAGGCTTTATGGAAGGCCAATTAGAAAGTGAGAAATGGCTAGGACAAGGCTTTGAGGACAATCGTTTTGTACAAAGAGATCCAATCAGTCCTAGCTTTCATTGCCCTATATGTATGAACGTTCTTAACAACCCAGTGATGTGTCGAAACAACCAACACCATTTCTGCAGAGCATGTATCATCAAACATTTAAGAAATACCCACAACTGTCCAACATGTCGAGATGAGCTGACGGAGGACACGTTGGTCCAAGCACCGAGAATCGTGCTAGAGTATTTATCTGAGCTCAGAATTCGTTGTAATTTCCTCAACCGTGGTTGTCGTGATGTTATGAAGTTAAGTGATCTAGAACGTCATGTCAGTATGTGTGGCTTTGCTGCAGTGAAGTGTTTTAACGAAGGTTGTGAGGTCGTCATCAATAGACAAGATAGGTTACATCATGAGGCTGAGGTCTGTGAGTTTAGGTAAGCCATAGTAGATAAAAAAAACCTTGGTCTTGGATTATGTGGAGTTATATGATTGATCAATTTTTAAAAGTGTCAACATTTAACAAGCATTAAACAACTTATTATGTTTTTGATGACTCTGAGTGCATGTATATCCACACTGGGCAGGCAGAAAAGTTAACCTGACCACAGTGGGAATTGAACCCCAAAGTATCCCAAACTACAAAGGTCTCTAGTGCATAAAACATCCACTAACATTTATAGCTCAGTTGGCTCTGGCCATAAGAGGCCTAGACACCAAGCTTTGTTGTTGTTATAGTTTCTGTAGCAGTCACATGGGATAATGTCAAACTGGCCACCACAGTACTAGTGACCTTGCTATACAAATCCTAGCCTCAATTATTGAGTCAGGTTTTCCTGACCTCCGCCACAAATTACCCATTACATACTTCCAGTTTTGCGAAAACCTATACACAGTGTACAGTGTCATCCTCTATAAAGATTGTGTAGTCACTAAGCCAAAACACACAGACATTCCAACTCTCCTGATTTTACCGGGAGTCTCCCGAAAATTCATGCAATCTCCCGGTCTCCCGATTTTTATCAAATTCTCCTGATTTTTCAAAATATTCAGGAAATATCATAAAAAATTATAAATATACTGTTTTTAGCAACATAATAGTCTGTCTTGACCTTTTTTGAAGTTGCTTTATGGCAATTTATAGGATTACTTATAACAACATAGTCCCAAAATGCAGGAAACGCCATTTCAGAAGACTTAATTTTTATTATTTCCCCCCCAGAAGAACTAGATTTCAATTCACTGAACAGTCTCCCTAAATTTTACCTCCAGTGGTTGGAATGTCTGAACACAAGAATAGATACTAGACCAGAAGGGACACTCCTATGTGTTTTGGTGTAATATATTTTGGTGTAATATATACAGGTGTAATATATTTTGTATTATTTTAGACGTTTGCAGTGCCATGATTGTGTTGAGTTGAAGAAAGAAGTTAAGAATATGAATGCAAAGGTGGATGAGCTCAGTGATCAGCTGCAGATTCAACAGTTGCAGATTCCAGGTCAACAGTTGGTTAGAAAAAGTATCATCATCGCTGGTGGGCACAATGGAATGGGCTTCATCAATTCTGTGGAAATGTTCTCCTGGGAACAGAACACATGGACATTGCTAAATCCAATGTTGACATGTTGTGCTTATGCATCTGCCGTCACATATCAAGGTGAGGTCATTATCTCTGGAGGATATAATCGTATAAAGGAATATAGAGATACAATGGAAACAAGTTCTTGTGATGCATCTGTGGAATGGAAGATCTCTCCTGTCAAGCTTCCTCACTTATGTCGAGGGCATGCAACACTCGTGTATAAAGATAGCTTGATTTTGAGTGGAGGGATGTTAGACTGTGGACATATTAGTGACAAAATCTATGAGATTTCCATGGTCCCTCCATACTCTACAAACATTGTAACAACAATGCCCGAACAAAGATTTGATCACACTATGGAACTGTTTGAAGACAAACTTTTTATCATTGGAGGGTATGACGGTGATAAAACATGTGACACTGTCATGATGTATAATCCTGTTAGCAAAGAATGGAAGATGATGACACCTTTGCCTTTTCCAGTTGATGAGATGGCTGGTGTTATTTGGCAAAATAATGTCATTCTTCTTGGTGGAAGAGAAGATGAAACCTATACTACTAAAGATACTGTTGTTATGTACAATCTAACAACAGGGGAATCCAAATATTTGCCCTCCATGAAGTATAGTCGAGAAGGATGTGCCGCTGTTGTTACAGGCGATGTACTTGTTGTAATGGGTGGGTTCAATGATGAAAGTGGTTATGTTATTAAGTCAGCTGAGGCTTTCCACTTCCAGGAGCAGGTCTGGGAAGAACTACCAGACATGAATGAAGAAAGACAGTATGCAAGTGCTGTTGTCAAACCAAGTTAAACAGCACAGTTAATATGTTACAGTATATCCAAAATTGGACAACCTAGTAGAACAAAATTGTATCTTGTATAAACATATATATCAACCATTAATTATCACAAACTGTGCTGGGACATTGCAAATTGACCCACATATTTATATTGATGGAAGGATGACCTAACTTATGAGCTAAAAATTGCTAATATCCAATTGCAATTAATATTTACTTACAAGCTGGGCAAACGTAAGCTTTGTTAAACTCTCTAGTACCATCTTCATCACAAAATATATCTGAGTTATAAAAATTAAGAAAATTATATAAATCTATCATTGTAACCAGTATTTCTTTCTTATTATTTCCCACTTTTTATAAATGCAATTGTACAATACTTAGAAATTGCAATAATGTCAATATTACAGTGTTTACGCTTGTACAAAATCGTGTTTTTTTTTAACAAAAAGTACAAAAGGATACGGGAACAAGAAGTCACCTACAAAAAACAAGACAAAAATATGGATTTTATATAGCTTTATATAGCACTACAAAAAACAAGATAATTTGTTTAATTTTCATGGAATACAAAGATTATTTACCCAAGAGAAAGAGCTCAGACGTTTTCTACATTTTCTAAAATTGCAGAGAAGGTCGTTATCCATGTTTGCAATCTGACATTATCACAACTTTCGGGCTAGAAAACGCAAGAAAAAGATCATTTTTTTAGCAAATAAAAGCACAAAATTAAACACAAACACTGAAAATAGAGAATACTTACCTTAGTTATCGTTTCAAGGACGTACTTTGAATAAAATATAGCTATTTCTTCCTATTTTTTATCTTCAAATTTTGAAGGCAAGGTTTTTAAACTTCCCGCCATAGCGCCATCTTGCCACAGGTGCTCCAAATCAAAACGTCAAAAATCGTGGTCTTCGATTAGTAGGCAAATAAATGGAATTGAGAGTTGTAGTTTAAGTTCCTATGTCAACATTTCTGCAGTTGAACACCAAATAAAGAAATTCGGCAATAAACTTTCGAAGGGTTATAACTATAGAATAATATATGGGGTACCAGTCAGATATGTAGATTCACCAATTGAAATTTTTTTGTACGACAAACCAACACGTAATTACAAAATATAATTACAATTTCATTCAGAATTCTGACTGGTGTAGGACTCCAATTATCTCACTAATACACCCTTCGGGAAGTACTTCACTTTGGCCATAGAGGCTAGAGCCTCGCTTCCGTGCATGTGACATTCTGTGACATTAGTTAAAGTGCAATGTCATAGAAAAAAACGAGGCTCAAAAGCCAAAGTGACATACTTTCCCGAAGGGTGTATTGCAATACATTGTATAGAGTATAATTTAATAAGAAATTTAAAGATGGGTAGACCAGTGGTAACTTTACCTAAAACATTCAAAGTGGTACTCAAATGACTAGCTTGTCATACAACAACTCACCCATACCTCAAAACATTATAAATTTACTGTTAATTTGGTAAGTATTGCTCTGGACGAACTTGGACAAAGAAAAGAATGTCCGTCTAAATAATTTTCTTGAGTGTGTCAATAAAGCGGCAAACGGATCATGGATGAAATTTCTGTGCGTTGTTCATCTTGACAAATGATCTGTGTATGTGCACAAATACGCATTAGAGAAGCACTGGATATAGTTCACAGTATTTTAGCTAGTTCATCTGAACACACTGAGAGGGATGATCCGTCGAATAATGTGTCATGATAGATGGACCGTGTATAAATCGTGCCAATGTAAGATGATGAATAAGTAACATCTTTGAGAGGAAGCCAATCTTTCTTGGTCGTTCAGTTAAACGATCGACTTTCTCTCCCCAAAATGAGGAAATTTAGCAAATTATTTCAGTGGAATTGACGAATTGGGATTTAATTCACTTGCCTCGATTCAGCGTAGTGCATTAGTAGGTTTCACTGAGCACCATCGTGCAGCAGATGGTGTTCAACCTGCAGTTATCAGAGTGAGAAAATAATGTTCATTCTTTTCATTATATATAGTTTTATTTTCTGGCTGTTCACAACCATCTCCTGTTCTGAAACGATTACTGCATCAACCTCGTACCCAGAGCTTCTGAGAGCCCAGCCTAGTCCCTAGGCCTCTTAGTACGCCTATTTCGCGTCTCTTTGCATCCTCGTCCCCAGGCCCAAGCTCGGGCGGCCCTCACAGTGGCCCTGGTTCAGGCTGTTGATCTGCGTCGGAATTCCAACGCAGAGGCTTGGTCGCACAGCATATGCCTTTCTCCCTAAAAACATGGCGACCGCAATGAATGCAACTGTACGAGGAAGGCAGAAGCAATATATTTTGCACTTGCAAAAACAAATAATACTCAAATTAAGTTAAAGGAAGAGCAGAAAGAATATATTCGTCAAATAGTAAATGGAAGGGATGTTAAATCGTTGATATACCAACTTTTACCGTCCATGTTCGACTACATTAATTCGAGAAAAAGAAATATTTCTGCCGTGTTGCCAGAAACAATTGTGATCGTGATTTCCCCATTAAATGCACTGGTGGGCGACCAAATAGACAAGCTAAAAACTGACATGGGTGTTAAAGCAGTTGTTTTACGCCATGATGATCATGATCAAGAAATGAAAGGTGGGTACTATTAAAAATACTTCATTTTGCTATTTTTGTATATAATACATAATATGTATAGACAGTAAATAGACCCCTTGCCTAAAAACCAACTGGTTGGAAAGTTTATTGAAAATATAATTAGCATTAAGCAATCACTATTAAGTGTACTTGCCATGTTAGAGTCTTGGGGAAATGTTTCCCTTATTTTTCTGTTATCAGCAGCTGTATCAAAATGTATGCATTATTAATATAAATTTATTTGTCTTTCTATAGCTTACAGTATGTATCAACAAAGTATGGATGTAAGGCCTCAGAGGTTCGCCAACACATGAGGACAAAAACAACACTGTAAAGTGTTGCAAAGCGCAGAAAGGCAAACAAGAACAATAGTCAAAAACAGAAACACCAGGCTAGTTATTAAAAATATTATTGCCCAGCAAATTATTTGCAAAAGGGGCATATTCAAAAAACATTTAGCATATAAAAATATTTATTGAGTAATGTTACAAGTGACTTGTTGCTTGTTTTTAACTAGAGTAGTCAATAACTTATTTGAGGACTATGTTTTGCTCAAGGCAAATTTTAACCCATTGAGCCACAATGCAC